GCGTTACAAACTTTGTTAACACGCTCCAGTACCCAGTCTGAAGAAATACGTTCCACTGCTAGCCACTCGCTAAGTACTGGTTTGGAAGTAGCCACTGTAGGCGCATCTTCCCATGTCACTTCACCGTTACGATATGGGGGTTCGCCTGATGCTTGTCGTGTTTTTTTAAACCAGATAAGCATACATTTCGAACTTCAACCCCGGGCTTACCCCACTGACAGGGCTAAGGTAGGCTTTATTATAACCCTGCTAATAGATAAAGCACTTAGATGGGCCAATCCCCTTTGGGAGAATGACAATCCTTTAGTCTATAACTACACTGCGTTTGTCACGGCTTTTAGAAGAACCTTTGACCCCCCAGGGAGGAAGATTAATGCGGCCAGATCCCTGTTACGCCTTAAACAACAAGATAGGACCCTTGTAGAATATGCTCTAGAGTTTAGATCATTGGCAGCAGAAGTGAAATGGAACGAACAAGCTTTTATGGATGTTTTCTTGAATGGATTGTCTGATGAAATTCTAGATGAAATTGCCACAAGAGAACTTCCGGAAAATTTAGAGGATTTAGTATCCTTCATTTCCAGAATAGATGAGCGCATGAGACAGAGGCAGAACACTCGGGAAAGAGTTACTAGACTTCCTGTAAGACTCGCTCCCTCATTTCAGAACCCTGACTCCTATAATCCTACTCCACCAGAACCTATGCAAATAGGTAATACTCGCTTATCTGAGGCTGAGAGACAGTACAGAAGAAGGGAGGGTCTCTGTTTATACTGCGGGCGGAGAGGTCACCTACGTCTTAGTTGCCCTAATCGTCCGGGAAACGCTCGCACCTAAGTTCCCTTAGAGGACGGGCCTTGGGTGTTTCATTACTGTCCTCTATGCATAATAAAAAAGACCATAGGCTTCTGATTCCTGTCTCTCTAGCTTGGGAAAAGGGGTTTATTTCTACGATGGCATTATTAGATTCTGGAGCAGCAGAAAGCTTTATAGACCAAACTTTTGCTAATAAGCATTGTATCCCATTCCAATTGAGAGATACACCCTTGGCCGTTGAGGCCATAGATGGTAGACCTTTATCTGAACCAGTAATATTCCATGAGACCGAACCCGTTAAGCTTACTGTTGGTATTTTCCACGAGGAGTTGATTTCCCTTCTGTTAATTTCCTCCCCGGCAGTCCCAGTGGTACTAGGATATTCTTGGCTCAAGAGACACAACCCTCAGATTGACTGGGAGGGTGGAGAAATCGTTTCTTGGGGTATGGGTTGTAGGAAAGAATGTCTGCAGAGAGTTACTTCTGTTTGCCCCGTGAACTCTTATGCTAACACTTCTCAATCCACAGACGTTCAGATACCATTACAATATCTAGACCTCAAATCTGTATTTGACAAGGGTAAGGCGGATACTTTACCTCCCCACCGGTCCTATGACTGTTCTATTAAACTTTTCCCTGGTACTATGCCTCCCAGGGGTACGGTATACCCTCTATCCACCAAGGAAAACTTAGTTTTAGAGGAATATATCAAGGAGAATTTAGACAAAGGATTTATTAGAAAGTCTTCTTCTCCGGCGGGGGCGGGTTTCTTTTTTGTAGAAAAGAAAGACGGTACCTTACGTCCTTGTATAGACTATCGGGGATTGAACAAAATTACTATCAGAAATGCTTACCCTATTCCTTTGATTACTGAACTCTTTGACAGACTAAAGGGCTCGAGTATTTTTACCAAACTTGACTTAAGAGGAGCATATAACTTAGTGCGAATTAAACAAGGAGATGAATGGATGACAGCATTTAATACCCGTTACGGGCATTATGAGTATACCGTAATGCCGTTTGGGCTTTGTAACGCCCCGGCCGTCTTCCAAGACTTGATCAATGAAGTTCTTAGAGAATTCCAACATGAATGTGTAATTGTATATTTGGATGATATACTAATCCATTCTAGAGACATTAATTCACATCATAGACAAGTCAGAAAGGTATTACAGAAACTTTTACAACATGGATTGTATTGTAAATTGGAAAAATGTAGCTTTGACCAGTCTCAGGTAACTTTCTTAGGTTACGTAATTTCCAAAGACGGGTTTATGATGGACCCGACCAAACTAAAATCGATTTTAGATTGGCCTTTACCTAAGGGACTCAAAGCCATACAAAGATTTCTTGGATTTTCTAATTATTACAGACGTTTTATTAAAGGGTACTCCTCTGTTATCGCTCCTATCACTAATATGACCAAACAAGGAGCCGATACCAAAACCTGGTCTACTGAGGCTTTATCTGCTTTCGAAACGCTCAAACAGTCTTTTGCCTCAGCACCTGTATTAGTTCATCCTGATACCTCTCTACCCTTTTTACTTGAAGTTGATGCGTCTGAAACAGGGATAGGCGCAGTGTTATCCCAAAGACAAAGTTTAGATAAGCCGCTGCACCCTTGCGGTTTTTTTTCCAAGAAACTATCACACACTGAAAGGAGATATGACATTGGTGATAGAGAACTTCTAGCTATCATTATGGCATTAAAGGAATGGAGACATTTGTTAGAGGGCACCGTCCTCCCAGTTACTATCTTGACTGACCACAAAAATTTATCGTATATGGGGAGGCCAAAAGATTATCTGCCAGGCAGGCACGTTGGTCTATGTTCCTTACACACTTTAATTATGTGCTTACTTACAGGCCTGGTTCTAAGAACACTAAGGCAGACGCTTTGTCACGTCAGCACGAACCTATCACCTCTACAGAGGATACTTTGTTCCCTATTATTCCTGAAGTCAATATTATCGCCAACACCAATGTAAAAATACACTCTCCATTGCTCGCTGATATTATGAACGAACAATCTCTTGCTCCCGAACGTACTCCTGTGGGCCGCTTGTTCGTGTCCCCCAAATTCCAAGTGGACATTATTCGCTGTTTTCACGATAGCAAGTTCGCTGGTCACCCCGGCATCCACAAAACTTACTGCCTGATCTCCAAAGACTTCTGGTGGCCCGGTTTACGTAGGGATGTGGAAGACTTTGTCAAGGCTTGCAATGTTTGTGTCAGGAATAAACTTCCGCGGGATCTCCCTTCTGGTTTATTGCAGCCCTTAGTCGTTCCCAACAAACCTTGGGCTTGTTTGGCTATGGATTTTATTGTTGATCTACCAGCTTCCAATAGGCATACAGTTATCCTCACGGTCCTTGACAGGTTTACTAAAATGGCTCATTTCGTTCCCTTGCCTAAACTTCCGTCCTCTCCCGAACTGGCCGTGATATTTGCTAGAGAAATTTTCCGTTTACATGGTATTCCTAATGAGATTGTGTCAGACAGGGGTTCCCAATTTATTTCCCGTTTTTGGAGATCCTTCTGTTCACAGTTGGGCATCAAACTGAATTTTTCTTCGGCCTATCATCCTCAATCTAACGGAGCAGCCGAACGCACTAACCAAAAAATTGAGCAATATCTACGTTGTTTTGTTTCTGAACACCAGGATGACTGGGTCGGTCTGATTCCTTGGGCGGAGTTTGCTCACAACAACCTTGTTTGTGGTTCCACTCATAATAGCCCCTTTTTCTTGAACTATGGCTTTAACCCTACTGTTCTTCCGTCGGTGTCTCCTTCCCAGGGTATACCGTCGGTTGATATTCATATAGCCAACCTGAGAAAGTTGTGGGATCAGACTCGACAAATTCTTGAACGTAGTTCCGCGGTGTTTAAGTCACATGCTGATAGGCGTAGGCGTCCTGCTCCTATTTTTTCTCCGGGGATAGGGTCTGGTTGTGTACCAGACACATTCGCCTGAAAGTTCCTTCCTTGAAGTTTGCTCCTCGTTACATTGGTCCTTACAGGGTACTGAGGAGGATCAACCCGGTTTCTTATTTGCTGGATCTACCTCCTACTCTACGCATCCCTAACTCTTTTCATGTGTCGTTATTGAAACCTCTTGTTTGTAACAGATTTTCCTCCCGCTCTGCTCCTCCATCCTCGGTCCGTGTGGATGGTCAGGAGGAATATATCATCAAGTCCATCCTTGATTCTCGTATTTCTAGGGGGAAGCTGCAATACCTCATAGACTGGAAAGGTTATGGTCCAGAAGAGAGGTCTTGGGTTCCTGGTATAGACGTGCATGCTCCTCGTCTTCTTCGGGCCTTCCACGTTCGTTTTCCTTCTAAGCCGGTCCCATCCGCCCGGTGGGCGTTTCTAGAAGGGGGGGTACTGTCAGGGTACCTGTTGGTGATGTATCCAGGGAGGACATCCTCTCTGCTTAGGGGCTCCCTCCCCTAGCATTTCGGCATATTCCGGCCGTTTTCGCGCCGGCCGCGCTAGCTCCTCCCCCTTTTATGACGCGACGGCTAGCGTCGACGTCATGACGTCGGCATTTGCATAAAGTGCCGGGAACCGCTATTCCGGACCTTTTGGGGGCGTGGTCTCTATTTAGGTAACAGGGTATTTAAAGGAAACCTTTACTACTGCTCATTGCCCTGTCGTGGTTCTAGCTTGCTAGTCACTCAGCGCGTTCTTTATCTTGTGTTTCCGGTTTTGACCCTTGCTTGTCTTTTGTCCTGTTGTTCTCTCCTCTCCTTTGACTCGGCTTGTATCTCGCTTACCTGTCCTCCGGCTCCCTTGACCTCGGCTTACCTTTTGACTATTCTTGCTTTGTCCTTACGTTAGTCCGGCCATTCTAAGGTCCGGTATACGTACCTCCTTCTGTGCGCACTCTGCGTATTGGATCCCTGTCACTTTCCTGACAATCTCCTCCATTTTTCATCATCTCTTTTTCCATCTTATCATGCTCCTCATTCTCCTCCTTATTCACCTCCATCTCCCGTTCCTTGGTCTTGATCTCTACTATCTTATTCCGTTCCATCTTCTTCTCCTTTTTCTCTTTCTCCTCCTCCTCAGTTTCCTCCTCCGCCTCCTCATTCTTCATCTCCTTCTCCTTTTTCTTTATCTTCTCTATCTCCTTCTCGTGGTCTGTCTCTTTCTCATTCACTTCACATGTCTCCTACTTCTCAATTTCCTTCTCTATTCCCTCTCTTTTTTCCTCCTCCTTCTCTTCCTCCTTTGTTTTTCCCTTCTCCTCCATTTTCTCTGCCCCTTCTCTGTTTTATCATCCTCCTTCTCAGTCTTCTCCTCCTCTTTTTCTTCCACCTCCTCTTTTGTCTTTTCTTCCTCTGTCTCAACCATCTCCTCCTATATCTCCTCCTCCATCTCTTTCTCCTCCATTTTCCTTTCCGTCTCCATCTTCGCGCCTTCTTTTCTAGTTTCTCCTTCTCTTCCATCTTCTTCTCCTCTGTTTCCTCCTTCTCCAATTCCTTCTGTTCCACCGTCTTGTTTCCTCTATCTACAAATCTTCCTCTGTCTCCATTCTGCTCCTCCTCCATTTCCTCTGACACTCCTATATCAACTCTTTTTCCATCTCATTATCCTTCGTCTCCTCTTTCTCTGTCCCATCTGTCTCCTGTTCCTCTGTATCCTCGTTCTCTTCTTCTATCTTCTAATCTTCTTAAGTCTCCTCTTCTTTCTTCTTATTTCTCCTCCTCCGTCCCCTCATCAGTTTCCTCTTTCTCCTCTGTTTTCTTCTACTGCATCTCTTTCTCTGTCTTCTCCATCTTCTATTACAATGTCTTCTCCTCTTCCATCTCCTCCTCATCCACCTCTTCTGTCCCTGTCTATTTTCTCTTTCCTTTTATCTTTTTCTGCCTCCTCCTCCTTCCTCTCCTGTTACTTTATGTCTTCTCCATCTCCTGTTCCTCAGTCTCTTTCACCTCTGTTTCCTTCTTCTCCTCCTCCTCCTTCTTCTCCATCACTTTCTCCTCCTCACCTCCTTGTTCTTCTCCTCCTTTCTTTGTGCTTTCTTCTATGTCTCTTCTGTCTCCTCCCCGTCTCCACCATCTCCTTCTTCTCGTCTGTCTTCTGCTCTTCCTCCATCTTATTCTTCTTTTTCGCCTCCTCCTCCATCCCCTATTACGTTATCTCTTCTCCATATCCTGTTCCTCAGTCTTTCTCCTCTGTTTTCTTCTTTTCCATTGCTTTCTCCTCCTCCTCCACGCCTCCTTTCTTTCTGCTTTCTTCTATGTCTCTTCTGTATCTTTCTTCCCTGTTTCCACAATCTCCTTCTCTTCCTCTGTCTTCTGCTCTTCCTCCTTCTTATCGTTCTTCTTTTCTTTTTTCTCCTCCTTATTCACATATTTTGTCTTCTCCTCCTCCTCCTATTTCCTCCCTCTGTTTTTTCCTCCTTTTTCCCTTTCTACTCCATTTCTTATCATCTCTTTTTCCATCTTATCATGTACCTCATTCTCCCCCTTATTCACCTCCATCTCCTGTTGCTTGGTCTTGATCTCTACTATCTTATTCCGTTCCACTTTCTTCATTTTTCTCTTTCCTTTTTCTCTTTCCTTTTTCTCTTTCTCTTCCTCCTCGGTTTCCTCCTCCGCCTCCTCATTCTTCCTCTCCTTCTTCTCCTTTTTCTTTATCGTCACTATCTCCTTCTCGTGGCCTATCTCTTTCTCATTCACTTCATATGTCTCTTTTCCCTTTCTTTTTTCCTCCTCCTTCTCTTCCTCCTTTGTTTTTTCCCTCCTCCATTTTCTCTGCCCCCTTCTCTGTTTTATCCTCCTCCTTCTCAGTCTTTTCCTCCTTTGTCTCATCCTTCTCCTCCCATACCTCCTCAACCATCTCTTTCTCCTCCGTTTTCCTTTCCGTCTCCATTTTCGTGCCTTCTTTTCTAATTTCTCCTTCTCTTCCATCTTCTTTTTCTACTCTGTTTTCTCCTCCTGCAATTCCTTCTGTTCCACCATCTCATTTCCTCTATCTACATATCTTCCTCCTCATTCTCCTCCTCCTCCATTTCCTCTGACACTCCTATATCAACTCTTTTTCCATCTCATTATCCTTCGTCTCCTCTTTCTCCGTCCCTTCCGTCTCCTGTTCCTCTGTATCCTCGTTCTCTCCTTCTATCTTCTAATCTTCTTACGTCTCCTCTTCTTATATTTCTCCTCCTCTGTCGCCTCATCAGTTTCCTCTTTCTCCTCTGTTTACTGTTACTGCATCTCTTTCTCTGCCTCTGTCTTCTCCATACTCTATTACAATGTCTTCTCCTCTTCCATCTCCTCCTCATCCACCTCTTCTGTCCCTGTCTATTTTCTCTTTCCTTTTCTCTTTCTCTGCCTCCTCCTCCATCTGATGTTACTTTGTCTTCTCCATCTCCTGTTCCTCAGTCTCTTCCCCTCTGTTTCCGTCTTCTCCTCCTTCTCCTTCTTCTCCATCGCTTTCTCCTCCTCCTCACCTTCTTTGTATGTATGTGTATGTGTGTGTGTATATATATATATATATATATACACACTTAGATCATATATATATATATATATATATATATATATATATGATCTTAGTATATATAATTTGATTTTAAACTGTTTTAAACTTTAATTATAATTTTTTCTGGCTGCAGGTGGAGTACTTGTCATTACACGCACTCCCCCTGCTGGTATTGCTGTGGAGGCTATGCCATCCATGTGATCGTGAGGTCCTCGCAAGGACCTCGCGATCACATGGCCCAGTGGGGCCAGAATGGAAGGAGGGGGAATCCCTGGGATGCCAGGTGAGTCCCTGCACCAGGTAAATACAAAGGACGGCGGGGACTTGCTAAGCCGTCCCCCGGCGTTTAGAGCCGGGTCCCCAAGGATGGCATAGCACGACTGCCGTCCTTAAGGGGTTAAACATTGCAGCTCCAGAGAAACTGCAGTGTTTACATTGCGTCTCTAAGTCAGCCTCTAGCGGCTGCCTACCAGACAGCCAGTTGAGGGCTTCCTGGTTCAAAACTTCACAATCTGAATGAGGACATCCACAATCAGTTTTTTTCCCATAGGAAAGCATTGATTCTATGCTTATTCTATGGGGAGGTCGAAGGCACGCGCGGCTTTTGCTGCGCATGTGCATTAGCACCTGCTCGTCGAGGGAGATCGACGCTGGGTTAAGGCGAGTAAATAAAGGGTTTTTAACGCTTTCTTCACCCGGGCAGGGAGGCGCGAGGAAGGGGGGGTTGTTTGTTTATTTAATTACACTAGTCTTTATTTATAGACAGACTGATGGTGTAACTTTAAAATAGGCAAAGTACATATAACTATATACAGTAAATGGACAAAAGTAACACAAACATCTAGACCCCTGTCCCCCCTTCCCCACCTAAATATAGTGTTATACAATATATATTATTGCAGTCTGCTGCTGCTGACTCTGCCCCTGGTCTGCCTCTCTGGCTGACATCATCAGAAGTGATTGTCAATTGCCAAGGAGGCAGGCTGGAGGCGGAGCTAAATGCTGCCGTGGCCAATCAGCATCTTCTAAGAGAGATGCATTGAATCAATTTACCATAAATGGAAATGTTGCCTGAATATGCAGCCTTATGCTACATAAGTTACATAAGTTATCCATATTTAATACAAAATTATCTTTAAACTATAATGTGTCTTAAATAGAAGATTATCTGTAGATTGGGACATCTGACCATAACACCAGCAGGGACTAAGGCTTGATTTACATCATGATTAAATTAACAAAATACGTTCATGAACACAAACATCTAGACCCCTGCCCCCCCTGCCCCCTAAATAAAATCTTACCTTTATTGCAGTTTATTGCAGTCTGCTGCTGCTGACTCTGCCCCTGGTCTGCCTCCCTAGCTGACATCATCATAAGTGATTGTCAATTCTGATGACCTCAGCCAAGGAGGCAGGCTGGGGGCGGAGCTAAATGTTGCCCTGGCCAATCAGCATCTTCTCAGAGAGATGCATTGAATCAATTTAATCAATTTACCATAAATGGAAATGTTGCCTGAATATGCAGCCTTATGCTACATAAATTATCCATATTCAATACAAAGTAACCTTTAAACTGTAATGTATCTTAAATAGAAGATTATCTGTAGATTTTGTTAAAATAAATTAGATTTTAATTTAAAACCTATACATATGATTTTAAATAATAACACACATTTCAACATTTTTAGCTAGGGGTGATAACTCCATAGATGATAATGTACGAAGAAAAACAAAACCAAAGAATTAAAAAAAAAAAAGAGAGAGAGATGGGAGATTTACCAGAAGAATTTCACTAAGGAGCATAGGGCCAGTCATGGAGTTTTTTCATCTCCCAACAAGCCCATTCAGAGGTGTGCCTCTGGAGCTATTGGCAAATGCCTGATCCAATTAATGGTAGCACTGGCCCACTTTGTATAAGGTTATTCTTTTCCCTCTGGGACACTTTTTTACCTAAAGTAAACAAATTCATGCTTGGTGGTGTCCTTTCTTCCCAACTACAATCTACTGCTCCCCTTATTGTTTTTGTAACATGTCTTTGTAATGCTTTTTCTAAGTTCATATTATATTTCTTTGTGATGAGTGTCTAAAAATGCACCGCATTTGAGTCTTGTCATGGGGGTGTTACTATTATTTTCTTAAAGATGAACGGGCCCATCCCGGGCAAAGCGAACCGCCAAGTACCCGCCACCTGCGCCATGAGCCCATCCAGCCCATCCATCCTCTGGCGGCGGACGACCACCAGGCCCTTCTGCAGTGCCCAAAAAAGGGAGAGACCCGGCCTCTCAGAGACCCCGAGTCTGTGGCCCAAAGTTGCCAACCTGGAACAAGGCCTGGAGCTGGGGAGGGACCCCCCGCCACCCATGACTGCTACCTATACATCAGTCCGGTGGACTGGCTTGCTAATGTCATAGCAAGATCCCGCCTTGCGGAGTAGGCTGAGAACACTTGTAGACGCTCCCGCTTAGCTACACACAGATATATGCCCTATTCCAACCGCCTACAGTGTTCTTTACTATAATCTGTATCTGTAGCATGTAACCTACTGTTTTACACATGCCTGTTCCAATAGTGTTTGGTCTATCGACCCTGCTGCAGATTCCCAGCGGACACGTGTTTCTAAACCGATCACCCTGTTAAAGCGGCAAGATAGAAGCGTCAGGGAGCAGTGCTCCCGCCAGTTCCTAAGCCCTCCATGTCCTCCCTCACTCTATGGAGGTCAATATGACCCCCATAATAGCATAGGGGAGATTAAAACCTCCCGAATGCCTCTACTCGCAATACCGTCGGGGGCCATAAATGATAATGAGGGAGGGACCTACTGTCCGCTCCCACCCCTGAGCGGTGGGTGGGGAACATAAATAACAATAGGGGGGGACCTATTGTCCCCCTCCCACTCCTGCTTGGCGGGTGGGGGCCATAAAAAACAATGACGGGGGACCTATTGTCCTCCTCCCCGGCCCCCACCCCTGATCGGTAGGTGGGGGCCATAAATAACAATGAGGAGGGGACCATTACCAAACTTGCCATTTGAAATCTTAATTTTTTTAACCCCAAAAAAGGCT